AGCTTATTATTCAAACTGTTTGCACACATTGTCTGTTTTTTCTTTCGATGTTATAATTCTTGAATACTTTGGTTTGTGTATGTTCAATGCTGTCTATGACTGTGTAGTGTTACTGAAATGACATTTGAACTGACATTCAGGAAAGTTTCAGTGCCATTAGTGACACAGAGCTTGGTTTCTGTACATAGTTGATGGCTTGGAGAGCATCTTGTATTCTGAGTAAATGGATTGACACCATAGTTATTTAATGACTGAGTATAGCCTCAGTCCTAGGTTCAGTACAGCCTCAGTCCTAGGTTCAGTACAGCCTCAGTCCTAGGTTCAGTACAGCCTCGGTCCTAGGTTCAGTACAGCCTCGGTCCTAGGTTCAGTACAGCCTCAGTCCTAGGTTCACTACAGCCTCAGTCCTAGGTTCAGTACAGCCTCAGTCCTCGGTCCTAGGTTCAGTACAGCCTCGGTCCTAGGTTCAGTACAGCCTCGGTCCTAGGTTCACTACAGCCTCAGTCCTAGGTTCAGTACAGCCTCAGTCCTAGGTTCAGTACAGCCTCGGTCCTAGGTTCAGTACAGCCTCGGTCCTAGGTTCAGTACAGCCTCAGTCCTAGAATTGTATAGTAGTGTTTCGTTTGCATTGAAAATTCAACTGTCAACTTCAGAAAATACCATTAGTTTCATAACTTTAAAAACAACTTAGACTTGACAAACTCTTCACAGCCTCTTGGCCTCTTCAGTAAATTGAGACAAAGAATTTACTTTGATAGATGAAAAATTGAATGACATCATTGAGTTTATGCTGCTGGAAGCATGCGCATGAAACATAGTTTCCGTTGAAAGTACATTCATTGTACAGTAGGTAATAAGGCCATTGTTTCTGCCGGATATTCAGAGCATGAAGCCCTACCGATTATTCCAAATCATTATATTTGCAACAAGTCTAGACAATTACCACAACTATCTATTATCACCTGTGTTACAATGGTAGTCAGTTGTCAGGGGAATAGCACCTAAACAATTTCCGTCACTGGTGCATTGTTTCTCGGTCTATGCGTGAATGCCATAAGTGTCTTCAAAATTGCATAATGTTATGAATTAATGATGAGAGAAAACATTCAGTTCTGTATCATCAAACAAGGGTTTTCTTAATGATTTGCACACGGGGGACAGTGGCTCAGAATGTTGGTAATTACTGTTATGTAGAAGGTTTCTTTGCTGAGATAATGACCATGGATGTACAATGTGTGAAGGTGTTTGTGGGTGGGGTGAGTATGGGGGTGGAAATGAGGAGGGCTGGAACAGAGATCAATATCAGAACTAGTTCCCTTGAGCACCAACAACAAGTTGGAGAATACCACACAATCATTTCTTTCTGACAGTCCCAAGGATATTTGTTACAACAGGGACAGGATTGTGAAAGCAATTCTTTGATTCCTTCATTGTGAAGAATTCTCTTTGTTGTTTTATGTTGGTTTGTCTGTATGTCTGAGTGAGTGAGTGAGTGAAATATTTGCAGGTTGCAGTTCTCAGTTGTGTCATAACTATTGTAATGTGCCGTTTAACCATGTGTCCTTTAATAAGTATACACCCTAATGTATAAGTTATACCACAATACACCCTTATGTATAAGTTATACCACAATACACCATTATGTAAAAGTTATACCACAATACACCCTTATGTATAAGTTATACCACAATACACCCTTATGTATAAGTTATACCACAATACACCCTTATGTATAAGTTATACCACAATACACCATTATGTAAAAGTTATACCACAATACACCCTTATGTATAAGTTATACCACAATACACCCTTATGTATAAGTTATACCACAATACACCCTTATGTATAAGTTATACCACAATACACCCTTTTGTATAAGTTATACCACAATACACCCTTTTGTATAAGTTATACAGTGTAGCATTCTTACTAATTACTTATAAACATTACCCTCTTACAAATATTTTCTACTACATTGCCCTCTCACAAATAATTTATACACATAGCCCTCTTACTAAATAAGTTGTCCCACATTACCTTCTCACTAATCATTTAAATCACCTTGCCTTCTTCTGAATCATTTTAGTCACATTATGTTCTTGCAAATGATTTACCAATCATTCTCAGTCATACCACTTAGCCTTCTTACTATTAAGTCATACCACTTTGAGTTCTTACCAATCATTCTCAGTCATACCACTTTACCCTCTTAATATTAATTATAAAAAGGACATTTTTATCGTTCTGTTAGAGTCTGAGTATACTGCAAGGTGCTGTGGTATATAAAGTAATCAGTTATATTGCAGGCGTCTAAGTATTCATGGTATAGATACTGGTTATAACAACTCATTACATAGTTATGTTCTAGTATTCAGTTATATATGTGTATATCTTGCTGAATAAACCTTTTGAAAAGTTTGATTATCATTTGATTACACTCCTGTCCCATTTTCCCAAAGAATAGTTGTGTTACCTAGCACAACTGTGGTGACAGCTGGTTACTTGGTATCCAACATGTGCAGGATGACAAGATGAAGAGACAAAGATGAAATGTAACTGTTGGACAAATATGGCAAGTGTCATATTGTTCATTTTCTTAGGATATAAAAAAAGAGAAACTACAACAATTTTATCTTAAATTATTTCTATACTACTCAACATTGCTCAGGACCAGACCTATGACAAATTATTGGTTTTTTTTAATTATAATGTTAAGTCTATAAGAAGATGTTATGCTTTTGGATTCCTTTGTCCTAAACGAAAAAAAAGATACAAGGAAAAAAACTGTTCTTGCTTTAATGTTTATGTCATACCCATTTAGAAGAAAAGAAGAGAATGTGCAGCTCCTTAAAACTTATTTGATTCTGCTCAGCTACAATTTCATGTAGTGTGCCCTGCTTTTATTATAGATATGGACGTTTTAGGTCATGTTAAGTGATCACTGTTGCCGTAATGGAATGAAGTACACTTTCATCATCATGCTTTGGACAGAAAACTCAAAACCAGGGCCGTTTTGGCTCATGTGGCTTCAGCAATATAGCCCTATATTTTCAATTAATGACCACTACCATGTAGTTTAGGATTTCTTATATCCAGCTTTGAGAAGCCAGATTAGTTGGAGAAAAAACGGGAAGGAGAAACAGTTCGTTAAGATGATTAAGTAATGACATAACTTGACTCCACAAACAATGGCGTCATCGTTAGGCACACGTTTGTGAAAAAGCATCGGAATCAATACTCATTAAAATGCGGCTGTCATTGGAAAATGTAGTTTAAGTAAAGGATAGCAAGATAATTTTGATTTATGAGTTGGAGCTATTAAAAGTTATCGAATTTCTGTATTAGAAATGAACCTAACTCGGTATTCTAGTAGAGGGTCATTAATATGTGGACCCTTCTTCCAAGATGTTTGCGATAACCACATTTACTTTCCAGATGGAGCGGAATTAGCTGTATGTAATTTCTTACAGAAAAAACGGCAGATTTTCTGATTAAATCTTGCGTTTCTTATCATGGTCCTATTCCTCTGATGTTAAATGTTTTTTTCAAGGCAGGTTTAATTAAACAGATAAGATTATGAATTTAGGAAGTTCATACAGTTTGATATCATGGACTTGTGAGCAATTAGGATGTGAATTATATCATGGACGCAGATAGTGGAGTGAAAATGGTCCTGCTGCTGGAAACTTTGACATTGTTGACTGTGGCAGTGGAAGCTTGTGGCCAACAGGAAGGGGTGCCAGGGGTGTTAGGCTGTACTGATCAACAGATAGGCATCAACATTTGTATTTTGTCAGGTATTCACTTATAAGGATGGTGTTCATCAGTTGTTCTGAGTTCTGTCCCTTTAGTTGCATGGAACTACAGGTTGTGAGTGAGTGAGTTGGGTTGGGTTTAAAGCCACTTGGTATAGTAGCTGACTTGAAGTGTCACTGTAGATGGTGGGAGGAAATCCCCAAGTGATGCAGGTCCTAGATAACTAGATGCAGGGCATATATACCTAGATGCAGATCCTAGGTACCTAGATGCAGGACATAGATGTCAAATGCAAGTCCTAGGTACCTAGATGCAGGACATAGATGCCTAGATGCAGGTGCTAGATGCCTAGATCCAGGTCCTAGATACCTAGATGCAGGACCTAGATGCCTAGATGCAGATGCCTAGATCCAGGTCCTAGATACCTAGATGCAGGTCCCAGATGCTAGGATGCAGGTATTTAACAGTTTGGTGAAACCATGAAGTTTGTGAACAGTGCTGGGGAAACTCTGACTCATCGGATCATGGTGAGTCTGGAATTAAAATACATGGGCATGTAACTAGCATGGAGTAATCATTTATGAAAAATACACCCCCTAGTCATCATAGAATAAGTATACTCATGGAAACAAATAGGGAACACATGAAAGTACAAGTGTTCCTTTATGCTCTTCCAGGTTTCTTCACAAGGAATGTATTGCACTGTGTGTGAAATTCTCAAGAAGGCAAAAGGAATTGTGTGTTATCATTAGTTCTCCATTCTTTGAATGGAAGCAATTAACTATTGTCATCAAGATTCCATGGAGTTACAGTTCTGCCCAGCTGGTGTGCAATATTTTGCGTGCATGTGTTTACAAAAATATACTTGCAGTTGAAATGCATGGTTGAAGATGTGTATGTGATACATGTCTGAACAGGGACCATAAATGTTGGTTTTATATTTTTAGAGTTTGTACCACAAAACTATTGATAAGAATATTCTCGGTGTCCATGTTAGGGCAAATACCATCAATGCCAATGAAATTAATAACCTGTCATGTTGCAATATTTTGTCATATTGATCCAGTATATTATATAATTGATCTTGAGTCCACATCATTGCAAACACATATGAATTATGAGGATTTTAGTAATATGAAACTTGTCAACTATTGGTATCCTGTTCGTCGACCCTGTGCGTTTAAACATTAGTAGTCCAGCACAGCAGGTTGTGTGTTTGCCGTTTGAAAATGAAATCCAGATTAGAACATGACGGGACAATGCTGTCTGTAGATGTCTGCTGTGGACATTGGTTGTGAAACTGTTGTCTGTAGATGTCTGCTGTGGACATTGGTTGTGAAACTGTTGTCTGTAGATGTCTGCTGTGGACATTGGTTGTGAAACTGTTGTCTGTAGATGTCTGCTGTGGACATTGGTTGTGAAACTAGTCTGTAGATGTCTGCTGTGGACATTGGTTGTGAAACTGTTGTCTGTAGATGTGTGCTGTGGACATTGGTTGTGAAACTGTTGTCTGTAGATGTCTGCTGTGGACATTGGTTGTGAAACTGTTGTCTGAAGGTGTCTGCTGTGGACATTGGTTGTGAAACTGTTGTCTGTGGACATTGGTTGTGAAAATTTTGTCTGTAGATGTCTGCTGTGGACATTGGTTGTGAAACTGTTGTCTGTAGATGTCTGCTGTGGACATTGGTTGTGAAACTGTTGTCTGTGGACATTGGTTGTGTAACTGTTGTCTGTAGATGTCTGCTGTGGACATTGGTTGTGAAACTGTTGTCTGTAGATGTCTGCTGTGGACATTGGTTGTGAAACTGTTGTCTGTAGATGTCTGCTGTAGACATTGGTTGTGTAACTGTTGTCTGTAGATGTCTGCTGTGGACATTGGTTGTGAAACTGTTGTCTGTGGACATTGGTTGTGAAAACGTCTGTAGATGTCTGCAGTGGACATTGGTTGTGAAACTGTTGTCTGTAGATGTCTGCTGAGGACATTGGTTGTGAAACTGTTGTCTGTAGATGTCTGCTGTGGACATTGGTTGTGAAACTGTTGTCTGAAGGTGTATGCTGTGGACATTGGTTGTGAAACTGCTGTCTGTGGACATTGGTTGTGAAACTGCTGTCTGTGGACATTGGCTGTGAAACTGCTGTGTTTACCATCACTATTGCTGATGCAAGCATATGACAAGTTCGTTGTGATGTATTGAGTATTCTGTCTATGCTCACATGAAACGACACACTCCAATCTTGCTGTATTGTTCTCATGTCATTTCTGTGAAACTATTTCATTCATTTTATGTTCTGCATTGCACAAATATACACCCCAAACACCATCCAAATCCCCATCTAAATGATGACAAGCGGACCTTACCCCATCTTGCACCTGAAGACATTGTCCGACTTTTTCAAACAACCTTGACTTATTTCTTCTGTGCGATATTTTCACATAAGCAGCCATGAAAATTAGTAATGACTTATTAGGACTGGAGATGTTGTAATCTAAAATGTAGCTTGTTTCCGTGCTGGTGTATGACAGCATAGTCATTGACGGAGTGATTGTTTTTAAATGTGTCAGGTTTCAAGTTTCAGAACAATACCTAATTACTAAGTTTTTCATTTCAGATGGTGGCAAAGTGACAGTTACGCCAAGTGTATATTACAGCTTCCTGCTCATAGGTGAGAAATAGTGCCTTTTGTAGTCCTCAGACATGATTGAACAGCATCAGGCAGTAGCAGACCAATTGGGGGTTGTTCTAAGAAGTAAGGCGATAATCACTGCAATTATTCGTTCGAAAATAGAGAAAACATTTTTCATCAAATTTAGATCAGACCTTTCAATATATGTTATAATTAGGGATGTTTTATCAAAACTAAATTGAAGATCTGTTGTGAATCTGATTTCTGCTTTTCTTTGACATTTAATGGTTTTTGATGTTGTTAATATTACATCTCTTCTGAAAGTAAGAGGTTACCATTCTACACAAGTCAAACACACAACATTTCTTTTCTTGGATTTAATCTTACCTTTGACACGGAATCAAACACACAGCATTCTTGCCCTTGGATTGGATATTACCTTTCTTGACAGAATCAAACACACCACATTCTTGCCCTTGGATTGGATGTATGCAGAGGCCAATTGTTGTTTTTATCGCACTGTACATTAGACTACCGGTAATTAAACTTCATATTTTAAAGACTTTTAAAACAGAACTGACAGATAAAAGAATCTGTATTAATTGGATGTGTCTGTTGTTTCGTATCTTGTGTTTTTTGGTTCAAAATGTAAACCTTTGTTATATCTGTTACATTATTCAGATATTCATATTCTTCTGTTTATGTTTGTTTGTATAATAACAAATTAATTTACCAGCCTGTAATTTGTGACTCTGTCTGATACACATACCGACCCCTTTGTCATGTTGATTTGAGAGCATGTTGCCAAGTTAATAATGTTGTCATCAAGTCTGTATTAATTTTGAACAATGTCAAAAATTTTGGGTTTTAATGAAAATATAGAATTTGCATGTGATATCCCAGATGGATGAATTTTTGACATGAAATGGACATTTAATTAAATTATTATTCTCTATTCAAACAAAGAGACTTTAATAGAGGATTGTTGTTGTAAATACTACAGTTATACCAAGATGGACTGTGAATTAGTAGGTTCTGTTTGGGAATGGATGAGTTAGTGAGTGAGTGAGTTGGGTTTTACGCCGCTTTTAGCAATATTCCAGCAATATCACGGCAGGGGACACCAGAATTGGGCTTCATGCATTGTGCCCATGTTGGGAATTGAACCCGGGCCCCTTTGTGTCATGAGCGAACGCTTTAACCACTAGGTTACCCCACTGCCGCACCAAAAGTAAAGAAAATACTCCCATCACAATAATCGTTCATAACCATGCCACTAAATTATAACTTCAGTTGCACCTCATTTTCATTCAAATTACTTTTTCAAATTGAACAAAGTTTTCTATTACTGTTATCCAAAGTGGTCACTCCCAGCTATCCATGCAGATAACCAGGATACAACAGAGGTCAGCCATTGGTCAGTGTCCTGTGGATACACCTGGTTGGAACAGCTACCCAGCAACTTACGATGGTCATGAGAGATGTTAATGATCTGGTGGTCAGACCCCGTGATTACATATCTTTGTACCCCGATGGTCATTGCTTGCTATATCGATCACTGGAGTTTCTGTCCCAGTCTGGGCGGTGGGGAAGCCTAGTGGTTTAAGGATTTACTCGTCACGCCGAAGGCCCGGGTTCGATTCCCCACAAGCGTACAATTTGTAAAGCCCTTTTCTGGTGTGCCTGCCGTGATATTGCTGGAATATTGCTAAAAGTGGCATAAAAGCATACTCACTCACGCACTCTGTCCCAGACTTGACTGTTGACACATAGCTGGAATATTGCTGAGTGTGGCATTAAGCCTCATATCATGCAGTCATTGTTGTCATCACAAACATACAACTCTGCAGTCATTGTTGTGATCACAAACATACAACTCTGCAGTCATTGTGGTCATCACAAACATACAACTCTGCAGTCATTGTTGTGATCACAAACATACAACTCTGCAGCCATTGTTGTGATCACAAACATACAACTCTGCAGTCATTGTTGTCATCACAAACATACAACTCTGCAGTCATTGTTGTCATCACAAACATACAACTCTGCAGTCATTGTTGTCATCACAAACATACAACTCTGCAGTCATTGTTGTGATCACAAACATACAACTCTGCAGCCATTGTTGTCATCACAAACATACAACTCTGCAGTCATTGTTGGTCATCACAAACATACAACTCTGCAGTCATTGTTGTGATCACAAACATACAACTCTGCAGTCATTGTTGTGATCACAAACATACAACTCTGCAGTCATTGTTGTCATCACAAACATACAACTCTGCAGTCATTGTTGTTGTGATCACAAACATACAACTCTGCAGTCATTGTTGTGATCACAAACATACAAACTCTGCAGTCATTGTTGTGATCACAAATCTCTGCAGTCATTGTTGTCAACAAACATACAACTCTGCAGTCATTGTTGTCATCACAAACATACAACTCTGCAGTCATTGTTGTCATCACAAACATACAACTCTGCAGTCATTGTTGTCATCACAAACATACAACTCTGCAGTCATTGTTGTCATCACAAACATACAACTCTGCAGTCATTGTTGTGATCACAAACATACAACTCTGCAGTCATTGTCACAACATCACAAACATACAACTCTGCAGTCATTGTGGTCATCACAAACATACAACTCTGCAGTCATTGTGGTCATCACAAACATACAACTCTGCAGTCATTGTGGTCATCACAAACATACAACTCTGCAGTCATTGTGGTCATCACAAACATACAACTCTGCAGTCATTGTTGTCATCACAAACATACAACTCTGCAGTCATTGTTGTCATCACAAACATACAACTCTGCAGTCATTGTTGTCATCACAAACATACAACTCTGCAGTCATTGTTGTCATCACAAACATACACCTCTGCAGTCATTGTTGTCATCACAAACATACAACTCTGCAGTCATTGTTGTCATCACAAACATACAACTCTGCAGTCATTGTTGTCATCACAAACATACAACTCTGCAGTCATTGTTGTCATCACAAACATACACCTCTGCAGTCATTGTTGTCATCACAAACTCTCTGCAGTCATTGTTGTCATCACAAACATACAACTCTGATCATTGTGGTCATCAAAACATACAACTCTGCAGTCATTGTTGTGATCACAAACATACAACTCTGCAGTCATTGTTGTCATCACAAACATACAACTCTGCAGTCATTGTGGTCATCACAAACATACAACTCTGCAGTCATTCTGTCATTGTTGTCATCACAAACATACAACTCTGCAGTCATTGTGGTCATCACAAACATACAACTCTGCAGTCATTGTTGTCATCACAAACATACAACTCTGCAGTCATTGTTGTCATCACAAACATACAACTCTGCAGTCATTGTTGTGATCACAAACATACAACTCTGCAGTCATTGTTGTGATCACAAACATACAACTCTGCAGTCATTGTTGTGATCACAAACATACAACTCTGCAGTCATTGTGGTCATCACAAACATACAACTCTGCAGTCATTGTGGTCATCACAAACATACAACTCTGCAGTCATTGTGGTCATCACAAACATACAACTCTGCAGCCATTGTGGGCATCACAAACATACACCTCTGCAGTCATTGTGGTCATAACAAACATACAACTCTGCAGTCATTGTTGTCATCACAAACATACACCTCTGCAGTCATTGTTGTCATCACAAACATACAACTCTGCAGTCATTGTTGTCATCACAAACATACAACTCTGCAGTCATTGTGGTCATCACAAACATACAACTCTGCAGTCATTGTGGTCATCACAAACATACAACTGTGCAGTCATTGTTGTGATCACAAACATACAACTCTGCAGCCATTGTTGTGATCACAAACATACAACTCTGCAGTCATTGTTGTCATCACAAACATACAACTCTGCAGTCATTGTGGTCATCACAAACATACAACTGTGCAGTCATTGTTGTGATCACAAACATACAACTCTGCAGTCATTGTTGTGATCACAAACATACAACTCTGCAGTCATTGTTGTCATCACAAACATACAACTCTGCAGTCATTGTGGTCATCACAAACATACAACAACACTGTTTTAATTGCAGCCGCCTGTGGTTCAGTATGGTTCCACACTGGTGGGTCTCTCACACACAGTTTTAGTTGTAGCCTCCTGTGGTTCAGTATGGTTCCACACTGGTGGGTCTCACAGACAGTTTTAGTTGCCTCCTGTGGTTCAGTATGGTTCAACACTGGTGGGTCTCACACAGACAGTTTTAGTTGCCTCCTGTGGTTCAGTATGGTTCCAAACTGGTGGGTCTCACACAGACAGTTTTAGTTGCCTCCTGTGGTTCAGTATGGTTCCACACTGGTGGGTCTCACACAGCCAGTTTGGGTTGCCTCCTGTGATTCAGTATGGTTCCACACAGGTGGGTCTCACACAGCCAGTTTTAGTTGTAGCCTCCTGTGAT